TATGAATAACCAAAACACAATGTGTTTAGCCTGTGCAGTTTGAATGCATTAGGGTATCTCAGATATGCACATTTACAGTTGGTATAAAAAAATAAAAAAAGAAATACGTCATATTTTGCCTCTCCGTAACAAACAATTGTTCGATACGTTTTTTTTATTGAACACTATGCAAAGAGAGATCTAATAAATCACTAATCTTTGGTATATTGTATAATAACTCTGTGTGAAATAAACTAGCATACTGTATTTCCGCTATCTATCTTAGTAATTATTTTGAATGCATTAAATATAAAACTAGGATTACACAAATAAGATTTCATCTTTTAATTTGTACGTTTTAATGCCTTTTACAGAATAGTTTCCCTGTGTTTCCAGTCTTTATGCAATGCTAAGCCAAGCTAACTAGCTGCTGGCTTCAGCTACACACTGGTTGTAAAAAGGTCCATCTTCTCTTTTAATTATTTATCACACATATTCATGATGAAACAGAAAAAAAGATTTACTTAAAGTGGCTCAGATACCGACAGGCCTTCCGCTCCAACGCTGTTGCAATACACTAATAGTGTGTTCTGTGATTGTCAGCCTTAATAATCATTCACTTTTCTTTGTATTATGTGTGTTTCCTGATAAAGAAACTCCATACGCAGCTTCTGGAGCACATGGAATGCTCGGAGTCTGATCATATCTGGGTTTCTGTTCTGTAACATTGTCCAGAGCCTAAAAAATTAGATCTACCTCGACTGTCAGAGACAAATGGAGGAACAGGCAGGAAGCACAAGCTGGACAGATATAAATATACTGTTACTTACGTTTTTGGAGTCTTTTATTCAGTAAGTATCAGTGGGATCTGAAAAGAGCTGAGGTTAATGCAATAAGAATTAAACAGCAAAGAATATCACGTCTTCAATCCCTGTCTCTGATTTGAATTTGAATTTCCTGAAGATAGTTTGTATTAGATTACAATTTTCCTAATGAGAAAAAAAAAGTTACCTGGAATTTCCTTTTGTTCCAAGACTCTTATCAGTTCCCTAATTTAAAAAGAGATATAAGAGAAATGTATTACACATAATAGGCTTGACGGCAACAAAAATAAAACACAATGTTAACGTTGGTTTATGTAAAACTTTGTTCATTAATACTTTGAATGCATAAAGACAACTAGAAGATTAAAAATAAGTCCCCAGTAGCAACAGACTATTTAATTTCAAACCTTTATTTAACGAGATTGGTCCCATTGAGATCATAGATCTCTTTTCCAAGGGAGACCTGCAGATATGCATTTCCTTCCCCGACAGTTCATGTACTTACTTAACCGCTGACCCCGGTGACTGTCTGTTCTTTTTCTTCCCTGTGCAGCTTGTACAGTACAGAACATTCTGGTATTTTGGCATTTGAGAGGTCTGCACTCATCTGATGAATGATATCCTTTTGGACGAAAAGCACATCACTCCTCATACCTTCAAAGCCTCAGTTATTGTTCATACCACTATCAACAGATGAACACTTTCTGTTGTCCAGCATGCCAATATTTCACACAAGGTGTTCACCACTGGGAAGCCAACGCACATTGCATTCTTAATCATGTTCCACATTCTTTACTTTATAACTTTTCCTTTGTTCCTGTCTTTGAAATGATTAAAAGTCAAATATAAAAAGAGAAAAACATTTGCTTTTGTTTTGAAAAAACGATATTTCAATGGTGACAGGGTTGCATGAGGATATCTGAAAAATTCCAAATAAATCTTTAAACAGATGTTGAGGAAAGACAAATAACTCGCTTGCGATGGCATGACCCAATGCTACATACAGTGAAACGGCGTGCAACAATTTGTGTCTTCTGACCCCAAAGGTCAACAAAACCCTCACTTCTCATCAGCTAGGCCTGCTTCAGCCTCACTGAACAAAGGTTGAAGGTTGCAGAGATGGAATGTGTTGGATTGCAGATATTTGCTGCAAGAAAAAAATGTGGGGCGGTGGTGGCGAAGTCGATAGGGACTTGGCTTGGCAACTGGAAGGTCACCAGTTCAAGTCCCGACAAGACCAAGTGCGAGGTGTCCCTGAGCAAGCACACTGCTCCCTGGGCGCCGTTCAAAATGGCAGCAAACTGCTCCTAACACTAGGATGGGTCAAATGCAGAGAAACAATTTCCCCACGAGGGATTAATAAAAGTCCATCTTAATTAGAAGTAAAAAATCTATAAATTACACCTTTTTAGAAAACATGTGATTTAGCTTCATCTCAGACACAGAGAAGTGTAATGCTGGTCGATTACACAGTTTAATGCTTTTAGATGGCCATTGGTTGCTAATGGAGCTGTTCTCTGACCCTCTTAAGTTTTAATTAGCCAATTTAGCAGCCCCGGGGCAGGACCCAGGCAGCTTGGCTATTGTTGATTAAGGTCATTGAGCACAAGGTCAAGGAGTAAGATGACTTGCTCATAATAGAAGAGCTAGTGAAATGAGCTGTTAAACTGTTTGTTTTGTGGGAGAGCCTCAATCTGTTTTATACGTTACAAAAAGTACAACATGTGCTTTTGTAGGTGTGATGTGTTTTTGATTACTTGGCTGCCTTTTTTGCAGACATCCTCTTGTCTTTTGGCTCCACTCTCACATGTTCAAATCCTACGTGTGTCTTTAGGATAAGGGCTGCAGTGTTCCCCCGTCAGAGGGAGATTCATTCTACCCCAGTGTAGTCCATTGTTTGTTTGAGTCATACCCAGACCACAACTCTTGTGAATCCATTTCCCAGCACAGGCATCTGGCTTGCTGGTAAAAAGATAATTTATTCTGCATAAAACAGCCTTAGTAGATAGGGAAACAATGTTGGACTGTTTATTCTAAATGTGGATTTTATCACTGTTTGGCAAATCATTTTTCCCCCCAGAATTCCTGCTGTTAGAATGCTTTAAATATAAACTCTTTACAACCATCTTAAAATCTCTAATATTACGATAAATGATATTGACACTTCACAGCAGACATTCACCCAATCACTTAGTTTCCTTATGTTTTCATTATGATTAATTAGTTACATCTTGGTTTAAGGTTGTATGAAATATATCTAAAATGGTTAATCATATCCACTGGTCATACATGTCATGCTTGAAATGAAAAAGGGGACCTGTTATGCAGATTTTCAGGTTTCATTTTGTATGTTGTGCTTCTACTGTACATTCTAAATGTACATGCTTTAATGTAAAAAAAAAAAGGTCTTTATTTTTCTGTGCTACAGCACTTTTCACCCTCTGTCTGAAACCCAGTCTGCTCTGATTGGTTAGCTAGCCGGCTCTGTTGTGATTGGCCAACCGTTTATAGATGTACCACCCCTTAGCCTCTATCTATCATGTGTTGGAGTGATACCTACACTGAACAAAAATATAAACGCAACACTTTTGTTTTTGCTCCCATTTTCACAAAGATCTAAAACATTTTCTATATACACAAAATAACCATTTCTCTCAAATATTGTTCACAAATCTGAAAAAATCTGTGATAGTGAGCACTTCTCCTTTGCCGAGATAATCCATCCCACCTCACAGGTGTGGCATATCAAGATGCTGATTAGACAGCATGATTATTGCACAGGTGTGCCTTAGAATGGCCACAATAAAAGGCCACTGAAACGTGCATTTTTGCTTTATTGGGGGGGTCCGAAAACCAGTCAGTATCTGATGTGAGGGTTAGGGTTAGGGTAATGTTGTGAATCGAGTGGCCTGTGTTCGTCGTCCATAAGATACGCCTGCCCATACCATAACCCCACCACCACCATGGGCCACTCCATTCACAACATTACCCTAACCCTAACCCTAACCCTACCCCTCACACCACTGACTGGTTTTCGGACCCCCCCAGACCCCCCCAATAAAGCAAAAATGCACGTTTCAGAGTGGCCTTTTATTGTGGCCAGCCTAAGGCACACCTGTGCAATAATCATGCTGTCTAATCAGCATCTTGATATGCCACACCTGTGAGGTGGGATGGATTATCTCGGCAAAGGAGAAGTGCTCACTATCACAGATTTTTTCAGATTTGTGAACAATATTTGAGATAAATGGTTATTTTGTGTTTATAGAAAATGTTTTAGATCTTTGAGTTCATCTCATGAAAAATGGGAGCAAAAACAAAAGTGTTGCGTTTATATTTCTGTTCAGTGTAATAGAATTGCAAGTGTTACATTGTGATGTCATAATTTCATGTAAGTAAACAAAGGACTACAAATGAGACGTTTCAAGCAAGGTGGGAGTGTGGAAGAGAAACTCCTTCTGGTGTGAACTCTGGGATTTTAGCCTTTTCAGACCATTTACATGCACACAAACCTATATAACACACTACAGGAAAGGGAAGGGGGAGATGGAGAGCAGTGTCGAAACACCTATTTTGGATATGATTGTTCTATCATATTTATCTATCTATGGGAGGCTGTGGCTCAGTGGATAGTGTGCTGGACTTGGAATCAGGAGATAGAAAGTTTGGGTCCCACTGCAGTCAGCATGTCGTTGTGTCCCTTCTTGTTGAGAAATATAATGAAGAATTGATTATGTACATGTGTGCTTGTCTGCATTCTGCATCCACATGTTGGTTAGAGTCTAATGTGTGAGTGTTTGTTTGAGTTTGTGAGCAGAGTGTGGATTCACTTTCTTGATATGTGCCTCATTAATGTGTAAACAGTTGACTCACCATGACTCACACTGGCAGGAACCTCCAGTCCCGCTGCTTATTAAACAAAGTTATAACTTATATAGCAGAGATCAGGCTAGAGAGCTTTATGTTTTTTTCCAATATATGGCAGGTATGGAAAATCAATAATTTCTACGAGGCACAGAGTCTGGGTCTTAACCTCAGAGGTGCTAGTCTACTTTAAGGAAGCAGGTGCGCTGTTATTCAACTTGGTCTTCTTAATGGAGTCGTAAAAGAAAGAGTAATATATGACACAGTTCCTGGGAAATATCCTAAAGAGTAAAAGCTGAAAGTGATTTTTTTTTTTCTCTCTTTCTCTCCTAGCTGCTAACTGGGACCATGGACGGAAAGCTGAGATTGTTTCAGTCCAGCAGTGCGGCCCGTCTGTCTCGTGACACCAGTGCTGTGCATAGCGTCCCTCACTAGACTGGGTAGTCCATGCAGGTTTCATTAAAGCAGTTCCAGCCCCCTTGCTTGGATTTGAGTGGGAATGGAAGAAATATGGGTTTGTTTTTAGTTTTCAGTTGAATTGAGATTGAAAATAGAAACAATAGGTTTTTCTTTTTCTAGTTGTATTTTCCTGTTGTGTTCTTTCACTTCTGTGCTCGAAAATTGGAGCCACCCATTTTAGCTCATCTTGGTAAAATCCAGTATGTACATAACTACACTGCTTTTCTTTCTATTACTGAGATTCAAATAGATATCAATGTGTTTATCTGAATTGTTACAAGATATAATGTGCTCTCAATTACAGAAAAAAACTAAACTCTATTTGACTAAAACCTTTAGCTTTAGAAACTATTTCCCATCCGTCTCTTCACATTCAGAATAGTCAAGTATCAGGTTGTTTAAGTTCAGTATGTGCAACAGATTTCCTTCTATATAACTGGATGAGCGCACTACTTAGCAGACCAGCACACAGAGCTATGACATCAACTGGGTGCAACCTCTTTGGCTGCCAAACACACAGATGCTACTACTGTTCATACTGACACACCCCCGTCCGTATTGTTTGAGCTTTACATTTACTCTCCACAGTTGCAAAACAAAATGTCGGCTCGGCTACAAATGACATTTACTATTCAAATTTTCTAGAGCAAAATAAATTGAATATCTTTTGGGAATCTTTTTTTTTTTAAAAGTACACATTGTTGGGAATATTTATATAAAGTCTAAATATACCCTTACATCATTCATACATGTCTGTTGAAATTATTTATTTTATTGTCTGTTTTCTGCAAGGTATGAATGCGGTGTTACTGCGTGTCTGTTTGTTTTGCCAATATAAGGTGTTCCTCAAGGTTCTACTTAAGGTCCCTTTGCAATTTTCGTTTAATTTATGATCTCCTGATGATTTTATTTGAATATAACTTATGATCATACTTATATATATATATACTTCAATGTATTTATTACAGGGATGCCTTACTCATTCCATCATCAAGATAGGGTGTATCTCCAGAAAGTAAACAAAGTTGTAGGATACAAGATGGTGAGTACAGCTGCTTTGTATGTGCTTGTGAGTGTATGTTTTGGAACCTTCTTTAGGTTTAATATTAAATGTTTACCTTCTCAGTTTCAGAAGTATAACCACTTGGTTAATAAGTAATTAATATATTGTGGGGAAATGTCAGTGGCATTCACTTTGTTATCTTAAGGGATTGGGGCACGATTTTCACTTTTCCAAGCCCACAAAAAAAACTCCAGTATGCTGCCATTGTTGCTACCGACATGTTCTAACCCTCAGCTGTCTTGAGAGAGGCTAAAGGAAAACTCTACCTTTCTGCAATGGAATGAAATTTCGAGCGTCACTCATCCCCAGTCCATTAGGAAAAGATATTGAATTTGATGCATTATCTGACGGTGACGCTGATGATGGAAAGATAAATCCACTGATAGCCCGCCTTTTCTTAACTCCTTCAGACAGAGGCAAACTTTCAGAACACTGCTCTTCTCTGCCTTGTCCTCTGTCCAAAATTCTGCATTTGATTTACTCTGTCTTTTTAAGACTGTTTGCTTTAATTATTACCAAACCAGACTGCCTGAAAGGATTGTTCTCCGTGCACCACCAGCCTCAGCTCAGTCAGATTATTTATAGCTTTGAAGTTGCACAATTTCAGATGCCAGGTTTCTATCACAAAAACTGATGTTATACATTAAAGAAAGCAGGGCTGAAGCTGCATTGGATTTATGGGGTGATAGCTATCTTTGGTCATGCACAACAGTATACGTGTACATTTCTGAAAATATTTTTTATACCACAAAGACAGGTATGTGCTGGTGAGTGTGAGTCGGACCTGTCATGGTGAGCTTTAGTGTTCCTGCAAGCAGAAGAGACTTTCTTCTGGAACAAAACATAATAAATTGTCATCAGATAACATTTATGTAGCCGTGTTCTTTCTCCATTTTAATGTGCTGGAATGTGTGTGTGTGGGTGTATTATGGAGTGAGTATCTTCTTCTCTTGGATGAATTTACCTGCTAGGCTACACTAAGATTCAGTGATCACATTTTTGCAAACAAAAGTGATATATCAGAGTTTGTGCATTTTTGTTGTCTGTGTGAGGTCGCGTTTGGTGCACATGGTCAACTCCCTGCATTGATCTCACCAGTTAAGAATGATGTGTTTATACTTGCAAATAATAAGATTTCAAGGAAAGCCACACCCGTACGTAATAACGTAATTTGACAGTGAGAAGAACTACTAGTGCTAGGAAATGTTGAAAGCCCCGAACAGAGCAGAGTGTTAGTTTGGGGAAGATACAGAGCAGAACTCAGAACTTGTTCTTCATTTTGCATCCCATAATCATCTAAAGTCTGTGCATGTCTCTCACATTGCATGTAGTTTTTTTTTGTGGTTCACTGACTCTCTGGCCTGTAGCTCAGAGCTCTGAATGCTTCACTTTCCCTAATGAGTCATGTATACTGTATAAAGAAACCCAAGATATACATCATAAGGCTTAATTGTGCATTTTAATGATCCCCCAAAGATGAGATCCTGATGATCTCTGCTTCTTTGTTTTCATGAACTCAGTGTAACGGAAGTTGCCGGAAGTTGGCAAGAGGGGACGCTGGCGTGTTTTTCGCCGCTCTTCTTGCCAACGCTTATTCCTCGTGTCTATCACTCCCTGCCGTCAAATGTTTTTCACATACACAGCGAAAAGATTGTTCTGCTCTGGTTTTGTGTTTCTGCCATCTCCGTTGCTCAGCTGATTATGTTTGGCTGCTGTTTAGTTCCTAGCCTCTGCCGTCCTGCCATTAGCAAAACGAGCTCACCGTCGTGCTCTGCTATCCGTGGTATCCCCGCTCTGGAATACGCCAACTGGGCTCCTCTCTGTCCCGCTCCCTGGACTACCCACAAACCCTCCCTCAGTCCTGCCATCTCAAGTGGGGGGTTTGCACTCACCGCTGCTGAGGTTCGAGGTCCGGTTTCTACCAGGCTAATGGTGCTAGCTGCTAGCTGGCTCGCTGTTCTTCCCACATGCCCTACCCCGGAGCCTGCGGTCTTCAGACTCTGGCCCCCCGCACCAACCTGTGAACCTTCGGGGATAGAGCCTTCAGTATGGCAGCCCCCACTCTCTGGAACGCTCTCCCTGCGGAGATCCACAACATCCCCACATTTGACGCCTTCAAAAGGGCCCTCAAGTCCCATCTGTCTGCCAAGGACTTCGGCCCCAAATCTATTTGTTGTTTTGTCTGACTGCCTTTTGTTATGTTATGTTTGTTTATACTCCTGTTCTTCCTTGTAAAGCGACCTTGGGTATTATGAAAGGCGCTATAGAAATCCAAGTTATTATTATTATTAACTCATAGTCAAGGGATATGAATATTTGTGCACATGTCGAAAAACTGCTGAGTCATGCAAGTGTTACGCAAAGCTTTTCTAAATACGATGTAATGAACATGTGAATTATTTAAAAGAAAAAAGTAGCCAGATTGATGGATATTAAAATGATGATCTTTGACATGAGAATGTTTTATTGTTTTGTGTTGTAATGACTGGTATAACATTACAGCGAATGAGCTTATAGGCGCCCTACTTGATGAGAGCTTTCACATGCTGTGATAAACACCTGGTGTGAACTAATGCAGGAACCAGACTACATGACATCAGCGCTATAATGGAAAGACGTAGAGTTTCAGGAACAAAAATGTGCAACAATTGCTGCTGTAGTGTTTTATAGTGGAAGTCAACAGGGTCAACATCTGGGACACCTCAGAATGTCTGAGCCGTTTTTATGACTACAGGATTGATTTTTGCTTTCTTTTTGACATTTTGCGTAAAGCTGGCACCACAACTGTAAACTATAGGTTACTTACGTAACCCCAGTTCTCAGAGTAACATGAAGTGAGATGTCTCACTATGGGATGCGCCTCAACGCGTATGCAAATAGAAGCATCAATCTCATTACGTCAATCCTGATTGGCTGGTGATCTTGACGTCTACGTCAGGGAATCCACCCACCCTTTAAGTAGCTTGCGCTACGTCGCAGCGTCATTCAAAATAAGCACCTCTTCTCGCTTCGCCTTAGCAAGAAGGGCCGTCTGGTGAGACATCTCACTTCATGTTACTCTGAGAACTGGGGTTACGTAAGTAACCTATAGTTCTCATTCATAACACTCCGTTCGATGTCTCACTATGGGATATTGAAACTCCCGTATTGCTAGACATGCTTATTTCGAAAATCACCAAAACAACCAGAACTTAACAGGTAGAACTCTGTCTCAACACGGGGCCCAGCACTGCGCGGGCCACACTTGGAGCAGAGACATCTAGCCTGTAAAAGCGGACAAAAGTGAGCGGTGAGGACCAGCTCGCTGCTGCACAAATGTCTTGGATTGAAACACCCTTGAACAAAGCCCAGGATGTAGCCAGTCCACGAGTAGAATGAGCACGCAGGCCCGTTGGTGCCTGCAAACCCTGACTTGTATAAGCCAGAGCAATCGCTTCTACAATCCAGTGGGAGAGCCGTTGCCTGGTAACGGGCTTGCCCTCATGAGGGTTAGCCCAGGATACAAAGAGTTGGTCATTGCATCGAAACTCTTTTGACCTGTCCATATAGGTGCGTAAAGCACGGACTGGGCACAGCAAATTCGGCCGCTGTTCCTCAGAGGAACACAGTGGCGGAGGAAATGCCTCAATGTCAATGGGGGTACATGAGCCAACCACCTTAGGTATAAAGGCAGGGTTGGGTTTCAGCAACACTCTCGTTTGCCCCGGGGCAAACTGAGTGCATGAAGGATGTACAGAGAGCGCATGAATATCACTGACCCGTTTGGCGGATGCCAGGGCCAGTAACAGCACTGTCTTCAGTGACAGGTGTTTCATGTCAGGTTCTTCCAGGGGTTCAAATGGAGGTCGAGTGAGCTCATCTAAAACCACTGCCAAGTCCCATAAGGGCACCAGTGACCTGGAAACAGGGAGGAGCCTGCGAGCCCCTTTCATAAAACGGCAGACCAAGGGATGTTGGCTAGCCGTCTTTCCCTCAAAGCCCACATGGCATGCAGCAATAGCAGCCAGGTACACTTTGATCGTAGAGAAAGCTCTGTGTTTATCGATCAAGTCCTGTGGAAATTATAGAATCACCCCGACAGGACATTGAAAAGAGATATGTCCTTTTTGAAGGCACCACTCCTCAAACACCCTCCACTTACAGTCATAGAGGGACCTGGTGGAGGAAGCTCTTGCACTCTGAATAGTGTTTATCACCTTCTGAGGGAGTCCCACTGTATTCAGGTTATACCACTCACGGGCCAGGCCCATAGTGCCAAGCGCTCTGGGTGTGGGTGAAAAATCGTCCCCCCCGCCTGAGACAGTATGTCCCTGCGTAGCGGGAGCTGCCACGGCTGCCCGCACAGCAGCTGATATATCAGCAGTGTGGAGCTATTAGGATTAGTGTGTGGCGTTGTTCTCTCACTCTGGCCAGAGTTGGGGGTATCAGAGCCAGGGGTGGGAACGTGTACAGAAGGACCGGAGGCCAAAGGTGCGCGAGCGCGTCCACGCCTAACGGTGCGTTTAAATCGTGCATTGAAAAGAGCAGCTGATATTGAGCGTTTTCTTTTGATGCGAACAGATCCACCGCGGCCCGGCTGTAACGCACCTACAGCTGACTCACAATTATTGGATGTAG